CTTTGTATTTGGGTTAATCCTTTATCATTCCAAAGTTAATTCACTTCCTGAAATGAACTTAGATTAGGTGTACCTTTTCTGGGTACTTAAAGCCCTGTGTGTGCCATCCGGACTGAACATTTAGGTCAACCTAACCTTGGTTAGGTTGATCTAAACATAACATTTGTACATACCCAAACTGTACTATTTCATCCATTTCAATTAAAATTTTAAGAGTGAAATTTGATGCATTTGCAAATTAGGAAGAGGTGTATAGCTTCACAGAGCCCCATCTTCTAATAAATATAAATAGAGAATTTAAAAATAATATTAATAGAGTAGACAAAAAGTACAGGTATTTAAAAACTCTTCAAATATGTCAATGTGTCTCAAATCTCTTACATTTAAATAAACAATTTATATTCTATTATCTCAAATATTTGATTATAAAAGGTGTAAAAGAAGACAGGCATTCCATTTTCAGAGGCCATAGTCTGACATTTCAAAAGAAAAATCACTTATTAGATTATACATAGGGGTCTACCTAACTCAAGGAGGTGGCTGGTTGATTTCATGGGGAGACCAAAGGGCTGGCTACCACATTCATGAGCTGAGTCATTACTAGTCACGCACGCACGCAGAGCTATCTTTCTATCTCACTAATACCCAGGGCATCTTTTCATATGCCCTAGGGTTGGAGATGGGGGGCACTTTAATTCGAGCAGTTTTTGGGAGCCACTCTAATTAAAGGGCTCTCTGTGTCATGTGTATTCAGCATGCTGAACATCAAAATAGCTGTGGGGGCACTTTAACTAAAGCTTTGGTTAAAGCGCTCCTACAGCCATTTTGAAGTGCAGGGACACTGAATAAATGAGATGCTGAGGCTACTGGAGCATGTAAATTTCACTCTAATTAGCATGCTCCAGCAGACTTGAGTAATTGAGTTTACTCCTATGTTTTGTAATCACATAATACCTTTACTTCAATAGATATAGAACAAACTGTGCACAAACAATTTAGAATGCCAAATATTCCACCGCAGAAGAGTCAAAAAAGACAGAAAGGTCTAGTAGTAATAAATTATTAATCAATTCCTGTCAGGATTGTTCTATAAAATTTCCTTACTAGTATTTTATCCAGTGCAAATTTACAGTGTCTCAATGGATGGGGAAGATTTTCCTGATGTTCAGCCTGATTTTTCTTTTCTTAACTTCATCCATTTAGGGTATGGACAGGCATTCTTCTGTAGTGCTAAAAAGTATCTCATGTAGTGCTATGAGGGCATATAGGTATTTCAGCTCCCTGGCTGCTAAAGTCGCTTCAAAAACAAGTTCAAGCTCTCTATCCAGGTGGCTGGGGTCCCCTCCACCTCCCCCTCCCGCCCCCCAGGGCAGCCTGTGACTGGCAGCTTTCCCTTGCCTGGGAAAGGGGGCATGCTGGCCACTTCTAGAAATCATCAACTGCCAAAGACAGCCCTTCTCCACCTGCTCTTCTTACCTCTGCCAACCCTGGTTATACTGTTGTCACTGCATCTTGCCAGCCCACTAGCAGCAGTGATGGAAATTCCCTTTCCTTAATCCTAATCCTTCCTCCTATATTCCTCCCCTGCCTTGTTCCACCTAACAGCTGATCAGTAGATGCAAGCAGCTGCACAGGTGCCACAGCCAAGAGAACAGCAGCTCTGCTGACTGCAGCAGCAGTGACAGAGTTACTGCTGCCCGGCTTTGCTGATCAACAGCAGCTCTACCACAGTCAGCTACAGCCACCTCTTTGCAGGGCTTTTAAAGTGGCAACATTGTTAATAGGGTTCCAGTTGCTTGCTTCTGGGCAGGCAGTCAGGGAGCCAGCCTCTCTCCTTCCTCTACCCACTTGGAGTCAGCGATTAGGGGCCGGGGGTGACTGTGAAATGTGGGTCCTAGAGACCCCTGTAGTGCTACATATAGGTGTTATACATAGCACTACAGAACCAAGAAACTCCTGTTTGAAAAGCACCGTTTCATAGTGCTTTTGCCATCTTCGTAGCACCACAAACAGCAAAAGTGACAGACTTTTTGTAACATTAAAAAGGTGCAATTAGCACAAATGCATGCCCATTGCTTTAGTCACAGTTTCTCATCTCCAAAACATCCTAAACAATTATAAATAGTTACATTTCCATTTATGGGAATTATAGAGGCATATTTCCTTAAAGCTCTCCTTATAAATCATCCCCTCCACTTCTATCATTTTTATTTTTATTTCCTAAATCCCCTATGTATTTTTAACATATTTTGCTATTGCAGTTCCTATAACTGAATTCAGAATTCCAGAAGCAATCCGTGCAAAGGAGGCACTTCAATGTTTTTTTTTACATAATGTGAGGCCTTTGCATGCAAAACTCAGCATCATATCCATTTTTTATCTCAACGAAACCATAGCTTAAACTCATGTCCAATTTGCTGTTCATTATCATTTCTAGGTCTCTTGAGTGGTCAGTGTTTCCCCAAATTACCCTCTCTTGTTTAAATCTCATCGTGTTGGGCTATTCTATATGTTTCTTAGGAAAGATTCGTAGGGGGAGATTTCTTAGGAGGATTTATTGTCACTTTTCCTGACCCTCACCTTGCAAGAGTATGTCACTGTGTGTTATAACCCAAGATGGGTCAAATTCCAGCAGCATTAAAAGGAGAGGTGGAGAGCTCACAAAAGCAATTAGACCAGGCATCCCCTTCCTTGGCTCCCTCAACCCCACACTAGAGTCCTGAAGTTTCCTTTGTAATAGAGCTGGCAACTGTCCTTTTTCCTCTACACCAACTCAGATAACAGACCTGAGCTATCTTTAAAGGAATCAGTCCATGTTGCTGTGTATTTTATTCTGCCCCCATCACCCCTAAACTGCTAACGGAGCACTTAGAATACTAGTACCCATTCCCCCTTTGTTTCTGATGAGCTTCTTTCTGCCTCCCTTTCCCAACACTAGCCATCCCACTATCACCATGATCCAGAGCCTACAAGATATTGTTTGGAATATAGCTTTTCCTATAACTAGGAAAACAGGAATGGGAACCCTTAAATCCTACTTTTTCTAAAATGATTACCCAATATGGGTCTAACTATCCATAAGAATCACAATTCACAAATGAATAATATTCCTTTGCCTTGTACCATATGTTCATATTCCTGTCCCATTTCATAGTCTCGATTACTCCAAGGCTTCAAGAAGGAGACTATCAAAAAAGAGCAATTCCACATGAAGTCTGGAATAATTTATGCTGCTACAGCAATATACTGGCATTGATCTTTTTTTCAGAAATGTAAGTCAAATCAATGGAAAAGGAGTGAAGATAAAACATGCTCCCTGAAACTGTTTTTCAGTTGAGGAATTTTTAGATGCAATAAGATGTGCCTTATGCTAAGAACATCTTTCTCAACCTAAACACACCTCACTTTTGAAATACGAGAGGCATAAGATCTGGAGTTAGGATTCCCCTTCCCCCTCCCCAAGGGCTTTGGATGCAAGGGGAAAAGGGAAGAGGAGCAGTGATGTGGTAGAAACTCACAGATCCTCAGTTACTAAGATATACATTTAATTCACCTTATGCAGATAAGCACACCTGGTAAAATTTCACACAAGGAATATAGTTCTTTTTATTTATTATTATTTATAGAAAAAAAGGGGGGGGGGGCAATGTGTGACCACTTACAGAAGAATTCCTCACAGATGTCAATCAATGGATCTGTTGCTATAAGAGTCCTCTAAGTATACTTTCTCCTATAAAAGACAATATCTAGGATTTAAGAAACATTGAACTACACTCGTTTTGTGTTATCTGCTAGATTTGCTTCAGAGAAATAAAGCTGTCTAGAAGCCGATGAGATAAAATTCTACTCAGCGTACAAATAGTTGTATTAAGTTTTGTGATACTACTGGAAGGAGAAAGCAAGCAGAATTTGGGCCTCAGTGATTTTTGCTGCCGTTCCTAAAATAATATTGCTACACCTACACCATTTAATTCTAAAACAATAGTAGCATAATTGACTAAATTATATAAATAACTACTACTCTTCAGACCAAGCTACATTAAAATATGAGTCATTGCTCCATTCATAGGAGGCTATAGAATTCCATCAAATCCTAAAGTTACTGCAGTGCAGTGCTGCTGCAGTCAAAAATTAAAATAAAAAAGTACCTTTCTTCTTGTAATGAGCTTAGTAATAATTTAACTCAAAGTATGACTAGAAACATTTCATTTTAATAAATTAAACAGACAATTTGACATAGAAAGCATAATTGTATAACAACTGCATACTTCAAAAGAGGGCATGTTTACATGACATGTTGACTGCATATTAGCTCGATACTACTGCGCAGTAGGGTCACATGGCAAAAAACATACCGAGATGCTACTGCACAGTAGTATTAGGCTACTGTGGAGTAGCATCACTTAAAAGGCATTTGCTGGCAGTACTGCGTAGTAACTCTGGTTACTGTGCATTTATTTAATACTTGCTTAAACAAGTACTAAATAAATGCACAGTAACTACTGGGCAGTAGTATCTCATGGAGATGTGTCCAGGGAGAACTATCTTGCTCTTCAGTAGGGGAGATGGCTGGTGAAATGAAAACGTAGTGATAGAATTTTCTGAGATAATTATTTTTATTAGAATACATTATTGCTGAAAATTTTGAAGGAGAAAAAACTGCACTGTGTAACAATCAAATGTAAACTAGGTAATTCATTATAAAGTATTTTGAATGATTTCATATAATAGAATCCTATTGACAGTGCTGCTTTTTAAAACCTTACAAAAACCTTCAACTTGGTATATGGATAAACATGGATAAAATTGTACTGAAATTTGACATCAATGAAAAAAGCTGGTTTGTTATTCAAAACAAACTGCATTAAAAAATTATCTTGATATTTTCTTTTAAATTAAAATATATTTCCCACTGAAATATTATCACAATTGCCCATTATTAGCAAAGTCAGCTGTAAATTCAACTCTTTCTGTTAAAATGTACAAGGCTTGGTACTCACCAGGTGTGAAATTATATCGAGCAGAAAATCCCATTGATTCCAGCTCACCATCAGCAAAAAATTTAATCCATAGAAATCTGCCACTGGATTTTATCATAGGTGGATTTTGCTGTCCACAGAAACGTCCAATAATTGGGGAAAAACCAAAAGGTCCATCTCTTACTTCAATATGATCAAACTTGCACTCCCAAGAAGGCTCTATGGAGTATTTTTCATCAAAATTTAGCTCAATACATTGTCTAGGAGCAGCTAGAATGGAAACAAAAATGTGTTTAATTACTACTTTATGATTTATTCTACTTTCAAACTTTAGATAAACAAGCATATATTCCATTTTCCTTGTACATCATAACATTTTCCTAGACAAATACTACTGTTATATATTTCAAATTATATCTTCTGTATCCTAACTCAATTTCACCTCATTAACTGACATGTCTCTTCTACTCCAAGTAAAAGGCATTTGTGAAACTCTTTCTTAAGCAAGTTAAGTCATCTATGTTGTAAAGCAAAAATGTGGTTTAGCAGTGGTTGATTCAGATACAAAACTTCTGAAGGAATCCAATTAATAGGGGAAACCATTTCTTTTCAAATATTTTGAGGGATTTTAATGAGAATGTAATATTTCCTGGTGCTTATAAAGATAAGAAATTATCTGTTCAGGAGTAGAGTACTGCACTGAGGACAAATTCTGTCCCCAGACACACTGAAGTCAATGACAGGCCTATGCATAAATCCTATTTCAGCATAAATTATTTACCATCTCATTTGAAACCTAAGATAAAGTACAGTGAAATGTCACTTAAGAAATCAGCCAAGGAGGACGCAAAAGTTTGTTACCTTAGCTAAAGATCAGACACTATTCTACTGGAAATGTGAATGATGCTTTAAATTAATCACTTAATTAAATGTTTGGCTATAAAAAAGATCTTTAGTTAATCCATATATAGATTATAAAGTCAGTGAGTATCATTGTGATTATCAAGCTTGGTTTCTTGCATAACAGGCTGAAGAATTCTGCTCAGTGGCTGCATCTATGTGAGACAATTACTACGCAGTAGCTTGTTACTACTGTACAATAGGATCGCCAGGCACGAACCATGATGCAGCACTACTACAGAGGGGTAGTAAGCATCACTAGGCAACCATGCCAGGATGCTACTATGGAGTAATGCTGGTTACTGTGTAGTCAGCATCTCATGTAGATGTGGCCACTAAATCCTACCTGAAGTCTGATAACTTGTGGTTGAACTACAGCATCTAATTTTGATCAAAGATTGCAAGTGAGGGAATATCCACCTAGCAGAGCTGTCTAACAGTTAAATGCCTTCACTGGTAAAAAACAGGTCTTTAATTTTCAAATACTGGATCATGCTATACTTTTACTGTAGAGATCTTTCTGAGATCACCTGTCTTCTAGCATGATCCCTCTCAACGGGTCATGTTCTGCATACCAGACAAATAGGTAAAACTGTGATGGATCAAGGTAAATTTTGTCTGAATGAAAGTGTTTACCATTTATGCTTGAAAAAGGCAGAATGCTATTTATGTTAAAATTATTTACAGCTAAATTCTACATATAAGCCTGAATCCTTTTCCACTTCTTAGGTATCTAACCCAATTTAGATGAGTAAGTGGATTCTATTCCACCATGTTCAAGTCCTTGGAACTCCATAAATAGATCTACTTTGTAATACACCATCAATTTCCCCTTAGAAATGAATCACAAAGACATAGAGACTCAGGTAGGCATGATTCTGTTCCACTGTATTCAAGTGGCTGAAGGCACCCCCTTTTTGCATTAAGATTTCTTCAGGCACTTTATTGAAGGGGAATAGAATCACACTTTGGAGCATCTTTACATGTGCTACATGTTGGAAGGAGGGGGCGCTTTAATTATAGTGGCTCCAAGAGCTACGTTAATTAAAGCTCCCACAGCGTCACATGTATTCAGTATCGCACACATTGGAATAGTGGTGGGGGCACTTTAACTAAAACTCATTAGATGAGCTGTAGTTTAAGTGCCCCTACTGCCATTTTGAAATGCGTGGACGCTGAAAGCACGTGACATGGAGGCTGCTGGAGCTAATTAGCACAGTCCAGCAGATTCAATTGATTGAGTTTGCTCTGATGCATGCTAATTAGCACATGTTGAAGCAGACATCTGGCAAGTGTATAGGTGCCCTTAGTGCCTAAATCCACTTATATGCCTAATAAGGTGGAACAGGCTTTGACCATTATTGCATAATATTAGTAGATTAATTTAATGCAGACAGCTATACAGAGGGTCAGAACATTCTTTATAACTCTTTATCTTTGTTAGCTTTTCATCCATGCACAGGGTGCAACAAAATGTCAAAACCCAAATGCTGTTCAATTTTCTATATAACCCATCGAGAGAGAGAGAGGGAGTGGACCTGGGTTACGTAATTTCTGAGACATTTTAGAAGGCAAGCTTTGGGAGAAGACTCATTACTCACCTAAGAAAACAGGTTAATTAAAACATGCTACATTTTCACAGTATGGAACTTATGGATATTAAAAGTAATATCCAATAGGAATCACTTCTGATTAGCGACTCAAAACATATAAATTTACAGTTCTTAAAAATGAAAATAATTTGTCAATATGAGAATTACCAATTTAGAAAAAGGGAAGTTATTAAAGGAGATCATTTTAATGCTACCATTATAAAGGCTGAAGACAAGAGAAATCTGATAAGTAATAGTGATACATTGAATAAGTCGAAGATATTGTTGGCTAATGTTTTTGATTGACTTTCCATATTTACCAGAAATACAGTTATAAAGCAAAACTTTTGAATATTAAAAGAGTTGACGGTGATTTACACTCTGAGATTTGGACTGTATTTAGTACACTAACACTGTACTTAATGCTAGGTCTTTCAAGGCTGACTCGCTAGTCACATACAAGCTAAAATATCAAGCCTTTGTGTTTTTTAAGACAATATGCCCGTAAATCACACTAAAAATGGTTAACCATGACTTGAACATCTTCTATCCCTATGACTGATATACAGATTTGTTAAGCTGCTGGCAACTTTAGTCAAAAATAGCAACATAAACTGTTAGTTTATATACAGCCATATGCCTTCACCTTCACTCCTCTTCAGCAACATGAATGGCTGGCCACTGACATCAATGGAAACAGAGAAAAACATCTGGCTCTGTACCTTGCCCTTTTACTTTTAGGTCCATAAAAGTAGTTTTATATGTTTATTTTAATTACATTCTCTGTCTTCTTAAAACCTATCCCTTTTCCTCAGCAATTCATTTTTTGAGAAATGTTACCAGTAATGATGTGTAGTCAAATAAATGCTTAACCAAACTTTCCGTGATTTCAAGGTTTTATTTAATGTGTTTGTGATAAATGGAGAAAGGCCAATTTCTGACTTACACTTACACTAGTGTATCCCACATGCTTGGTGGAGAACCTGGAATACTGGAAGTACTTCTGGTCCACTTCCAGGTCTGCCACTGAGAGCAATCAGCAATCAGCCATGGGGGAACCTAAGTGCCCCCCCACACCCAGGAGGCACCATTTGCTGAGCTAGAGAGGCATGTGCTGGGGGAAGCGCACGCTTCCTGGTGGACCTGGAAGTGGACTAAAAGTGCTTCTGGTCCACTTCTGGGTCTGCTGCTGAGTGCACTGGTGAGCCCTCCACGCTCTTGCACACTCCATCCACCCCAGCATCACAGCATTCATGAGCTGCCTGGTACCTCAAGGTATGTAGAAAAAACATTTAAAGCTATGTCTATGTCAGAATCTAAGAATCTTCCGAATCTCTCCAAATCAATTTGGAGGGGTCTGATTTGATTCAGAGAGATTAAAGGGTCTCCTGATTCAATTTGGAATCAGAGATTCAGCCACTGAATTGGGCCGAATCTCTGCTGAATCGAATCAGCCCTCCTGAGGAGTCTTAACGTCAATTACATTGCCAGAAGTGCGTAAAAGGAGTCCTGCTATGACTGAGAATCAGCCTTGCCACTTTAACTCTCACTAAATTCAATGGACTTCAGTGTAAACCCTCTGCTTGAATAGGAACTGGAAACTTTACAACATGCTGCACATGGTGTAGCAAAACCCCCAGTTTTCCTTTTTTTTTTTTTAATTTTAAAATGTATTCTCTCCCCTTCCCCAACCATTTCTGACTTTTTCTCTACCTCTCAGCTCACTTATACTTATCTATAGGGAATAAAGATATAGGATAAGCTTCAGCATTTTATTTTGGTCGCAAGTTGTATTTGTTTTGTTTTTTCTTCTACTTTATACTGTATAATTATTATGTTTATATTGATTTTTACTGTTCTCTATTACTGTTTTACTGATACTATATGAGTTAGGCCTACATATGTAAGTTAGCATAAGTCATGTCAAGTTTCCATTTTGTTTGTCAAGTCTCCATCCTGTCCCCATGCCCTGTTGTATAAGTATGTTGTAACCTATGACTCATACCTACCCCTCCTATGTAACTTGGTTCCTGAATGAATGGGAATGAATGAGGGTACTTGAGAGACAATGGCAGTAGGTCTAAATATAGCTCCCTCCGAATGACCGAACCATCAAAACCAATACCTGGACCAATGACCCAACCACTGGAACCACCCTCAGCATTCAAGAATCAAAAGATGAGGTAAGGCAACCCATCATTGTGTCAGCCTGTGTGTGTGTGTGTGTGTGTGTGTGTGTGTGTGTGTGTGTGTGTGTGTGTGTGTGTGTGTGTGTGTGTGTGTGTGTGTGTACCAATAACTTCATGGGGTTGTGTAGTGTGCTGTCTGTTTAATAAACTTGTTATTTTGAAACCCCGAGTTGGATTTTTGTCTTTCTGACTGTCTCCTCCTTGCCACCACTTATCTGCTCCCCTCCCCCCCCACCCCAAACTCCCAGGTTTCTGCTTCAGTTTCCAGCCCCCAGCTCCCAGGTTTCTGCCTCAGTTTCTTTCCTGGCTGTCTCCTCCTTGCAACTGGACTTTTTCCCTTGCACCAGTAACCTCGAGTAATCCTGGGACCACTTGACCTTAAGTAACCCCAAGCCTCAGTTCCTCAGCCCAGCTTCTTTCTAGTCTACTGGTTCTAATCCGGAACTTGCCTGTGTGTATGTGTAGGTGGGTGGTATGTGTGTGAACTGGTGAATATACATATATATCATCATGTGCGTGATATGCGAATTAGTGATCCGTGTATGTGTACGGAGTGTGTGGGTATTGATAACTGATTGTCTAATTTGGG